ATATATATATATATATATATTAATAATTAAATAAATAATTAAATAATTTATTAATTAAACTTATTATAAATTTTATAACTTATAAAATTTTATAAAAATACAAAATTATTTTAAATTATAAATATTATTATTTAATATTAATTTTTTATTTTAGAGATGTTGATATTGAAGCACAATTTAGTTTAAATCAGTCACGTGCAGAGGAGATCACTATGAGAGAAGATTATGGAAGTTTAGCTTTGGTTACACATGATCAAGGATTTGGTGATATGAGTTTTGATGCAGAACCTCCAGAATTACTTAGGCATGCTGGTGCTGTAGAACCATCATTAGATCAAGTATATTTTTTTTATCACTTTATACATTAATATTATTTATGTGATATAAAGTTTATATTAATCTTTTAGACTCATATGTTATTCACTGATGGACCAGGAATAGAAGCAACTTTAGAACAAAAAGAAAAAGAACCAGTACCAGGTCCATCAGTAACAGCACAAGCAATGGATATAGATATGCCTATTAGAGATGATGGTTTTGGTGGTCATCTTGGTCAAGATATCATATGTAAATAATTTAAATTAATATAAATAGAAAAAATTATATTATTTAATTATTATTGTATCATTATTGTATGTATTATATATATCATTTATTTTTTTATTTAGCTGGTGGCTTGTTTGAAGGTGGTTTATTTGATGAAGCACCCATGGGTGAAGTACCTGTGCCTGAAGTTAGTACAGTAACAGAAGCACAAGAACCAAGTGTGGTTCCTGGAGGACCACCTTCTGTACATGATGAATCAGAAGAAGAAATGGGAGATCGTTTTGGAGGTCCACCATCTCCTATGGGAGGAATGAGGTAATAATAAATTTAAAATATATGTATATTGAATAAATCTATATCTATCTTATTATATTAAATTTAATATTTTCTGTATAGTACTGATGAATCCAGACCTGTTTCTCCAGCTGCTCCTGGTGAAGAGATTGAGGGAAGAATAAGTGTTGCAAGTCGTCGTTTCACTCCTGCTCCACCAACTATTCCTGAAGAACGTCCAATGGAAGCTATTGAAGAAGCTCCGCCTTTACAAGATCAAACTACATTGTTACATGATGAAGAAGAAAGTTTTGCTCTTGCACCTGTTGATGCATCTGCTTTAAAAGGTTTATATTATAATATTATTTTATTTCAATTGTAACATTTATATAATTGTTATAAATATAATTTTATATAAAATATTATTAGGATTCACAAAAGCAAAACGTAAACGCAAACTTATTGTGGATGAAGTAAAAAATATTTCTGGTGAAGAAATGAAAGCACAATTATCAGATACCAGTGATATTATTACAACATTGGATTTGGCTCCACCCACAAAACGATTAATGCATTGGAAAGAAACTGGTGGAGTTGAAAAATTATTTGCTTTACCAGGAAGACCAATACCAGCACGTGTATTATTTAAGGTAGACTATTATTGATATTTTTCATATTTTCATTTTCAGAATATATTTTTTATTTTACAAAAACTAATTTTATTTTTTAATAACATAGAATTATCAACGACATTTGACTAGTAAATCTTATGATCATGAGGATTTTGGACGTTTAGTAGGTGAAGAAGAAAGTATGTCTTTAGAACAAATGAGAGAACCTGCAGAACCTGATGCATATGAACAAAGTATCCTTAGTAAACGAATGTCTCGCAAACGAAAAGCACCAGCAGATGAAGAGGTACATTATATTATTTATTTTTCTGTTTGTTCTCTTTTTATCTATTATTTTCAATTTTTTTTATAATTTAATATTTATAATTTAATTTTCATTAATAATAAAATAGTTTAATATATTAATTTATTTTATTATTTTTAGATAAGGCCACCACCTCCAGCACCAGTACCTCCTCCAATAGAAACTGTTCCTGAAACAGTGGAAGTTCCTAACATAGTTCCTCAATCAAGTCTTCCCTCTACAGAATCACCAATACCTCCACCTGAAGTATCTCTACCAACTGAATCATCAGTATCTGAAATTAGTGGTATAGTGCCTCCTATTGAAGAAGTAGAAATGGTTTCTTTACCTTCTGAAGCACCTTTGCTTCCTTCAGAAATCCCTGAAATTTCTGCTAATGATGCTATTACTACATCTGAAGAACCAGTTGTTCCATCTACTCAGGTAGAATCAGAAGTTACTCCTACACCACCTGTTGAAATGCCTCAGATGGAAAATATGGGCTATGATCAGGTTAATTATATTTCTTATATATAAATAATATTGCATATATATATTATTAAAAAAAATTGAATATATAATAGGCACAACCTCAGGTACCCTACATTGGTTATGATGAACATCCTCCTCCACCACATACACCTGCCGTATCAGAAAGAGGACCAGCAACACCATGGAATCATGAAGATTATGAATTTCCTCCATCTGTAGGACCTGTATGTAAAATATTAATTTAATTATATTAAAAAGTATAAGTATATTATACAGTTTATTTATTTTGATAGCAAGAAGAACAACAAATAGATGAAACTTATGAACAATTTGAAGAACGAGTTCTTAATAAAAGAGCATCACATATGTATCATGTTATTAAAAGTAAACTAGATACCAAAGATAGACTGACATTGTCGGAAATGGCATATAAAAACAATCGCAAACAGGTTTGTATTCCAGAATATAATTAACAGAAAATTATATTATTTATATTATTAATTTATTTTTTAGGTTGCACAAAAATTTTACACGTTATTAGTTCTAAAAAAGTTTCAAGTATTAGAACTCAATCAAGAATATCCATATACTGAAATTGTAGTCAGTAAAGGACCAAAATTCGAAAATCCTGCATTATAAAATTGCTAGGTATTTCTTACACTTACTGTTAAAAATGACGGAGAAAGAAGAGTGTAGCTATTTTTAACCATATAAAATAAGCAATTTATCTAAGTTCTTTTGGAAAAAAACTTGAATATTGTAAAATAATATAAAATTACTATAACTTGAAATATCTGCGTAAGATAAAAAAATTTTGTAAATCATGTTTTAAACTCCTGATTGGGGAATGTATCCGTTTTGTATAAACAAAAGAAGAAATATTTTGGACCTTCTGCATTTTTATTATGATAAAAAAAATTCAATTAAAATATACAAACTTATCATTAACAAATAATGTTTTATATTGATAAAAAAAATCAGCTGGCTTCATTAAATTTATTATTATCCGATCAGGATTTGTATATAATAATAATATATAATAAAAATATCTTATATCTTAATATTTAGAAATTTTTTGCATCTAAACTGCAGAATGGTCCAAAATTATTAATAATTGTGTAAGATAATTTATAAATTTGATGAAAAATTTTGTTAAAAATTTCATAAAATGAGATTATATATGGTTTAAATTCATTTTTAAATATTTAAAAATTTTTCAAATTAAAAATTATCAAACACATTAAAATTTAATTTTTTTTGTTTATTATTATTAGAGTACTTACATATTACTATTAAACAATTATTAATGAATCAATCAAGGGAATGTTTTATGGGTAATACTTTTACATATTACATACTTTAGAATCAATAATGTATTTAAATTATTTTTCAGATTTATATAAATATTGTTTACTATATATTTTGTGTACACTTGACATAACCTGTACAGTTATTGTTTATAAATTACTGAAAATTTATGCGATCCTCTAATTTATATTTACATTGTGAACAACATTCCAAAGAGCTGATTCCTCTTTCAATTTGCTTTTCTCTTTTAATATTTTTATTAAATAATTTCATAATATATTTTAAAAAATTTATTAATTACGTAAAATGATAATTGTTCGATTTCTATTTTTTTAAAAATATAATTTTATAATTTAATCACAATATTCGATAATTTATTGTTATACATATATGTATATCAGTTTTATGGAATACAAATGTTAAATCATATTTTTTAAAAAATGTTATATTTTATCAAATTGATATGTTGATAATTTCTTAAAATCAATCGTATAACATTGTAAATATAACGTGCACAGTAAACAACATAAATTGTCATGACGCATGTAATACTGTTAAAAAGCGTATCATAAAAAAAATCGATTGCTATAATTGCTATATCATATATTTGAAATGCCTTTTGTAAATAATCTCATAATTCACTAATTAATATACATCTGTTTATAAAAAATAATTTCTGAAATATTTTCTTTAAAATTTAAACCCTAAAGTACATATCACATAATATTTAAAATATTTAAAAATATTAATTCATTATTTTTTATTAATAAACTGTTACTTATATCAAAATTATTAAATGTATTAAAATATTAATATTAATTTTAAATATAATTTTTTTAATACATAT